ACCCACGCCTCTTACACCAGCCCTGCAGTGAATGAAGGATAATTCTATGCAGGAAGTACAGGAACATAGGACAAGGCTGTTTCCATGATGTGCTCATTTATTAGCTCATCACTCTGCAAAAGTCCCAGTCTTAGTAATTTTAAATTAAATACAGTCTGTGCACCTGAGCTGCTGGTGGTTTTTGTGGACAGAAAGAATCGTAGGCTGCACATCTATCACAAAATTTCACAATCAAATCCACTAGCAACTCCAACCTTGCTAGCTACCCACCTCTAGGAGAAAACTTCTTTTCCTACCCAAATCTGCCAGTTCCTTCCAAGATTTTATAGCAGCTGCATAATCTCTTTTGAGAGAGTTGTGTCCTGGCACCTGCCACTATACTGGGAAAATAATATAGGTCATACATTATTTCTAGCCACCTGTCAGTAAACTCAGGACAAGAGCCATGAACCAGCAGCCTTGTGTGTGCCCCTTTTTAGATTGATGTGTCATCCGACCTGGGTGAACATGCCTCAACTGGATTGCCTGACTTCAGATAACCCGTTCTACAATCCTCAGCTGCTTGACCCTAATCTAGTTCGGATGAGGCACAGAACGTACCTTTTTGTGAAGATTCTGTCCCCAAACTTATATAACAAAATTAATTATGCATGAATGTTGTCCAGCTTTCCAGGGAACATCTTGGTACGAAATGTATCAGTGTAGTGAGAACATCTCATTTTACAGTCAGCTTTTTGAAATTGAATCTGCCCTAGTCCTTTCTAGTAATATTATGCTACACACCCTGGTTCCTGTCTCTAATACAGACATGTCCTGCAAAGAGCTTTCTGCTTGTGGCAGTGTAAGCCTATGCTTTCTCATGTATCTTTGTCTCCTAATGCTCCCTGTTCTTGCACAGTTTTCTGATCTCTCCACTATTTACTGCTAGTTGCACTACAGTCTTGGTAGCTGCATGAAATCTGAGCGATTCATGTCTATGTTTCAGTTGCCTTACTACTTTTTATTACTGTGTCATTGTCTTAAATAATTTTTACTTTTGATCTTGAAGAATTTCTCTTACATTCTTCTGGTAACTTCACTAAGGGTCACCATGACAACATATTTCTTTTTCTAGATTATAGTGAGTGCCCAAAAAGAGCGAAAAAGACAGATTAATGGTAAATCTTGAGTAGTCAGTTGCTTTATCGTTATAATCACTTACGTGGCTGCATTAGCATTAATTGTCTTTTGCACTGTTTGTCCGTTAGTCTCTATGGTGTTCAGAACAATTCAGTTCAAGAAATGCACCGTGTAGTACTTTACTGTTTGTTGGGTGGGGTGGATCATACATTGATTTTGAAATAAAGATGAGATTCCAGTGGTAAAAAATAAAACTTTCTAAAAATTAGTAGTCAGAATATGAGTATCCTAAGTAGTGCAGTTAAGTCAATCAAATTGTTATGGTAAAGGTTAGAGGAACCCTTTGTGAGAAATTTTAAAGAATACACACAATAAACATGTATGTGTATGTCTGCATATGTGAATGGTAAATTTTGAGAATGTAAACTGATACTTATAAACAGTTTGAAGCAGTGGGTAGAAATAAGTCACATTTTATTTGAACCTGTAAATAATCCAGGGAGCCTGAGGATAGAAAGAAGGAAGAGATGGGTAAGGAGAAATAGCTTATCATTACTTTATGAGGGTCTGCAGGTCTCTCAGCCTAATCTTGACTGCTACTAAGCCTCTTCAGTCAGCTTTTCCAGTTCTCCTGCTTTTTACATCTTGTCTTTGAGTTTTTATCTTTTTCCGGTATTTACTTTGGATTACTGTAATGATTCCGTGGTGTGATCTAAATTAGAAGCTGTGTCACAAACTATCAGTTAAAACTTAAACTAAAACAAGGTTTGCCTTTTGCAAAGAAGCAATGATCCAGATGTGACATCTGCTATATGTGCTGTATTTGATACATCCCCAGTAATCAATATGTCAAAAATGAGTGTATGTGCAGCTGCCAAGAAGACCTGTGCCAACATTGCAGGTTGTAAGCTGAGGGCTTCATTATTAACTCATTTACATATGTTCACATCAAGAGAATTGTGGGGTGTGGAGCCTCAGTGCATCCCAGAATCTGGTCATCCCTGTGCCTGCCACTCCTGTGTACTGTGAGCAGCATAGTTTGGTGACTTCTTCTGACTTCCTTTCCTTTGATTTCCCAGTCTGGGGAATCAATTTTTCAAAACATCTGTGCTGCTGTACAGCTGGGAAAATTTGTCTATCTTTCTTGCTTTCATGGCCTTTCTCTGTAATATGCCTGTCTGAAATGAAGGTATCAAAGGATGCAGGTAGGATTGTGAATATAGAAGACAAACTTTCCAAGGAACAGGAACATTGTTTTTGACACAGACATGTCTGTACTAGCAAATGATGTGGTAGGAGGAGCTTTGTGGAGTAGAAGCTGGTGTGGGAGATTTGGTCCTGCTGTAGGCATTGTGGGCCTTTATTCCAGACAGGCTGTAAGCTGGTCACATGGCCCAAATGCCTTTTAGCAGTTGGAGCATATCTTCAGGTTTAATTTCATATGAAAAGAATCCATCTTGTAATCTCAGAAGGCTGCTCCACAATCCAAACCGAAGCTCAGGGAAGATGGAGAGATTTGCTACAGAAACACAGCACTGATCTGAACCACAGGACTGGTGTGGACACACCCATGAATGACCAGACATCAGACCAATCCATCTTTCTCAGTTTGGCTTGCTCTGAGAATTCCTATTGTCATACACATTCGCAGATGCACAGTTGTAAACAGAAAAACCCAGACAATAAGCTGCTTTTTAATCACTTTGGATAAAAAAGAAAAAAAAAAGGTGGATGTTCATCTTCTAAATACCTGGGTGTTGCTCTGTCTGGTAATGGTGACTGTTGCATCTGTCAAAGTTCTAGACCTTGTCTAACTGCATCCTTTCTCTTGTAGAGTCCTTAAAACTGTACAAAAATACTAACATTGTTCCCTTGTAGCTGGTATGTATTAATTTGAAAAGACGTATGTTTTTGTTCCCTTGGCTACGCTGGACAGCTTTTGCCATACCATATTACCTGATGGTACAGCAAACAGATACTTGGAATGATAAGTAGGAAAACCAGTCTTAAGCACTGTAACTTTATCCAGAGGAACAAGTTCAGAGTTTGCTATGACATGGACACTTGGAAAACACTTGTATGTGTGAGTTACGGAATGTGAGGTGGTGGTCCTCTACCCCATTGCTTAAATGAATAATTCATGGTTCTTTCAGGCTTTATTTTGGTCAAGTGATAGAATAGAGTTATCCCCTGGACAGAAGGAAGTGCCCACACCACAGCAATTGCAGACTCTTGATTTCTCAGCATATAGTTTAAGGTTTGTTTCCAGGAGAAATGAGCAGGTTCATGTGGACTTTTACCTTGTTCCCTTACACGGCCAGGTTAGAGCCAAGAAATATAAAGCAGAGCACAGCAACAGGTCAGTGAGACCCAGTCAGGTGCCTTTGAGCACACTGTTTACAGCTTGCTCTTTTGAATAGAAGCTTCAAATTACCAACCTGCAAATAGCAGATTTTAAACAAGTATTTACTGTATGCAAGTGAAAAATTGACTTGTCAATATGTATTTCAGTATATAATTGCCCGGAAACATGGTTGCAGTAAGATTCAGTATTAAACACTGAGCTGAGAAATCAATTGGTGTAGCATACAGAACAGAGGGTTGCATTACAAATTTTTCTCTTTCTTGTCTTCCTCCTTCCATAGAGAATATGCATTGCATTGAGGACAGAGAAGCAGAAAGTCTTGGCAACTTCTAGTGTGTCAGAGACTTTGTTCTGCTCAGTGAGGAGGGGTGCAGTTCCCAAGGAATATGTCAAATGTAGTAATTAATGTTCTTCCTTCATATGATGGATACCATGTGTATTTAGAAACATCTGAGTTTGTGCTTCAATAGAAGTCACGTAGCATTTTTACTGGTATAGTGTAGAATTTGAGTGTTTTTATTCATGATACTTGAGGCTTTGCTCCCAGACATAGTTTACAAATGCGTGACATTCCTTTTACGTTTCTAAGTGAAAAGTGAGCCAGGGTGAGCAGGAAGGACATTCTGTAGCTTGGTGAATCTTAGCAGTTTTTCATTGTGTCATATTTGTTTTTATAGAAGCAACTTCAAACTAGGGCAATATGAGTAGCAAATGAGTTTTTGCCTCATATAAAAACAAACATGATCAGAATCATCTTGTCTGTAAGTTATTCATAGAGTCCATTAGTGTCAGGATATACAACTTTCCTCTTTTGACAGCCTTTCCTCAGAGTTGTGAAAATATAGTCTCTTCAAAACAAACAATGTTTTTAGTTTTTACTTCCTTCTTTGCTTCCCCTATTTCCTGAACAGTGAAACACTAGTAACCTCATTTACTGAGGAAATAATCTGTGTTTGTATCCATGCCTCTTATGGTTGGGATGTGGCTCCAATAATTCTGCGATGTAGCAAGTTACTTCCCATCTTTGTCATGTAATATATCTTCCCAGATTATTATTCCCCTTTGTTTCAGAATATAAACATCAGCAAATATTATCTTGATTAATCCTCTCCCTTCCTTCCGTCTCCTCTTTCTTCTCTCCCTGTTTCGAAAAACAGTAAGAAAATGCAAGTTTATTCTTTGCCAGCCAAGAACTACTAATTTCTATAGGGAAGAATGTCCCTTTGGTCTTAAACATCATAATTTTGTTTTGTTTTCCAAAAGGAGTTAATGGCCTGGAAGAAAGAGTTTAGGTGACAGACTCACATTTCTCAACAATATGCTGTTGCAAATGGACAATTCCACGTTCTTGCAAAAATTAAAAAAAAAAATTAATGTATTGTGAATCTGATTTTGGGGTCAAGAAAGAAGATGCCAGGTAGCCTGGATACCTAACTGTGACAGCATGGAGCCAGAATGTTTTCTTTAGGCAAACCTATATTTATGGCAGTACATGAAGCCTCAACTCTGCCAAAGCTGTCCTGGCTTCACAGTTTGTCCAGGGACAGAGGAGAATCATATGCTGTGGCCTCATATTCTGCCACTGTGTCATAGTAGTCCATGTCACAGAGCTGGCTGTATGCCAGTCACGTGGTCAAAATCTCATCCCTTTCTCTGCCAACTCTTGACACATGCTCAGATGTCTTATAGTGTAAGGCAGAATCATAATCAAAGGCTACTAGATGAGGAAAAACAGACTTTGTTTTCAAAATATTCTTTACATTCCTGATTTCATTTGGCTTATACCACAGGCTTCCCATAAAATCTTCAGCAAGGTGTTGTGAGTCTTGATCCGGCATATGAAAAAAAATTAGAATAACAGTGATTCTCAGTTTTACTGGAATATTAATAAATAAAATTAATGCTAATTAATGGCCTGGGCTTGAGGGAAGGCCAGAAAAGGGGAGACTGGGGAGAGTCAAAGTCTGCTTTTCTTAAGGCCTTTGAATGAGCTATGTCAGAAACTGCTGTAGTCCCCCAGAGCAGCAACACATTGAGAGAGACTTAGAGATGCTTCTGGCTGCTCCTTCTTGAGATCTGAATCTTGTGCTTATTCTCTCTAGAGGCATGTACAGTCTTGTCCTAAGGATGTATTTGTTCATATGGAATGTGAGAACTTAGAACACATCTAAATTTATTTTCTGCCAACTAGCCAGAGAAATTTGTTTTGGATTTGAGAGGAAGGAAGAGAACTTCATATTGTACCAAGTAATTTGTCTGCATTGTAAGCAGGTAAAGAGAGACTAATTGAGGAAAGTGTAGGAGGAACATAAAGAAAATTGGAATTAAGCATGTACAGTCTGTGTCAGTGGGATCCATTTTCAGACAGTACATGAATATACTGTGAACTTTGAGACATTTTAGTATATATACTTATGTTTTACTAACTAATGCTATGTCCATTTTCTTCCTTTTATATTTTCTGAGTATGTATTTCTGAGTATGTACATGTAATCTTCAGCATAAAAAGCCCAATATTAAAGACTAATAAGCACAATGTGTAATATTCAGAATATTACAGAATTAAATCATCATAACAAACCAAAGCAAATTGCTCTTAAGCAATTTCGGAAGCTTCTCTAACAGGAAAACCTTTCTTGTGGAGGAATAGCTTCAGTAGCCAGGCATGAAAAGTGAATGAGGGGATAGCCCACCCTTAGTTTTGAGCTAGGTTTCCTGTTAAAGTGGCAGTGGAAAGCATTTTCCTGGAGGAGGATGTATTAACTTCTGATGCATTTGCCTGAAACTGCTGAATCCAGGCATTGTGCCTGTATTTTGGCTTCTTTCCCATTGTGAAAGTACAGTGCAGTCTCCTGCCTGCTTCCTCTGAGCTCGATATCCTCATTAAAGATCAGGGAAAAAAAAGGGGAAAACCCAAAGAGATCAGTGAATTCATTTGCATACCATGCCAGGGCTGGCACATGGTTCCACACGTGATATAGTAGTGAACCTTTTTTCGTGAGCTTGCTACAGCCACTGAGAAACGTTTCAAACTGCAGAGATAGGAAGCTGCAATTTTGTATTCAGAAGCAAGAGTGAAAGTGCTTCGTAACTCAATTGCATAATGTAAATAACATGTTTTGCATTTAGTCAAACATAGAGCTGTGACAGTATTCAATGTTTATTGTTGTTTATTGTTTTGTTTCTGTTTCTTGTTATTAATATTAATGCCTGAAGTGTTTGGTACTTATTATCATTCCTGTCTAATGACCTGTGTTCCTGGGAGTCTACAGTCTAGCTCATGACTTAGGGACATGGAAAGGCCAATGAAAGCACCTAAAATGATCTACATTGATGTTCATCTTATGCTGTGACATCTGCTTGGACACTTTTTTTTTTTTTTCAATTGAAACTGGATTATTTTATAGTGCTGTTTAGCTCCATTCCTGAGCAAAAGCCCTGGCTGCTGCCTGGAGGGTGGGGTGTGTGTCCTTGCCATTTTGCCTGTCCCATCTCCAGCACACATCACACCCTTTTGGGAGCAGTTTCTGTTCACCAGCTCTGCATTATTAATTCCCTGGTTAGCAAACTCAACCACAGCTCACAGACAAGCAGGGAGCAGATCTGGGCCCCCTTTCCTCTTTTTAGGGTTAACCAGCACATAGATATATTTAGCTGAATCACGTAGTCTTCTGATTTTGTCTGAGAATTTTTTTTTGTGGATGCAGAAAGGGTTTCAAGATAGTATTTGCATCTTGTTTTCTGAATTTACTTACATTCTGTAGGTAAAATTGCCTGTAGCATGTTACAGCTTAGTGACACACAGGTGGGGTGTTAACCTCTTTACATCAGCCAAGCCAAGAAAGAAGGCCTCCTTGTTATAAAATATGTTTAGCACATAGTAGACTCATACCTATAAAGACTGTAGCTTGTAGCACACCCTGATTGAGAATAAATTGCCTACTTGCATGGATATAACTATGTCTGTATAGTGAAATACAGTGTTGGTTATTGAACTGGTAAAGTTGAAGTGCAAGTTCATATAGATAGATAAAATGTTGAGAGGTATGTGTGAACACAGGCTTGTATACAGATATATTTGCCCTGATTATAGCACTCCCCTATGAAAGGTCCATAGTGGGTTTGAAGGACTTCTGGAGAAAAAGTTTAGTTTTGTTTGGGCTGAAGGAAGATGTAGCTGAGAGGAGAAAATGAGCAGTATGACACACATTGGGAAGAAGTTCCTATTTACAAGTTTGTTGAAGCAAGGTGTGTCTAACTCTTCTGCTTCATAACTTTTTATGTTGCAAGAATACCTTCATGGGCCATACATTGCTAAAATGACTGTTTCTAGGTAAGAAATCTCCATTGTTTCCCAAACAAAAATGAAATTCCAGGTCTTGCATGGCAGCACAAAACTGTTGTACTGTCTGGTCTACTCTATTCTCAGGTTGCTTTGTGTGCCTTTGGTGATTATTCACATGCATGAGTGATTTTCAGTATTATTTCTTTTCCAACTTAGAGCATATATGGGAGGGGAAAGAGTGCAAATTCAATGTAAATTGAGTCTGTTTGCTTCTCTGTTTTCTAACATCTCTTTTCTCTAACGTGTCTGTTCTGTAATGTGTTTTTAGTTACTGTGAACACTAATCAATTTTATGTGTGCTTTAAGAAATTGCATCTCCTGAGGCTTTTCAAGGAGCTGTGAGACTTCTCTTTACTTGGACTCAGCTGAAAATACAAGACGTGTTTATTATGATCTCAGTTGTTCCTTAAAGGTCAGAGCACCAGTTTAATTTATGACTCAGCACTCTAGTTACTAGAGTCTAGGTAAAGTGGAGACTGTAAATAATTTTCACCACTGTTTCTGAATTTAGAAATGTGTTCCTTTTCCACACAAAACAGACCTCTGCTTTTTTTGTGAAGTGTTACAATCAATGAAGAAGTTATACATTTCCCTACTTTGTAGCAGCTAAGTAAAGAAGGAAGACCTTCAATCTTGCTTGGGGTTTCTTTGTGGCCATATACTTTTAAATAAGTGCTTTAGAAGGTTGTATTACAAAAGACAGATTTTATTTCTGATTGTTGGAAAGCTGAAATTTTATCTTGTGTTTGGGAAACTGTATCTGAGTAGAAATAAAAGCACATTGCAAAGATCAAGATTTAGAGGGAAAGGTTTAATCACAAAACAGTAAAATACGGTTTTAAAACAGTCTGCATTGGCTGATCACAGAATCTTGGAATTTTTGTTTGTTTTATGGTTACCACTAAAGCAAAACATCATCACATTTCTGGGAATCTTGCGTGATCAAGGATTATAACATTGAGACCATGTTTATATTAATTTTTCATGGAAATTTTTAAAGCAAATACTTATCAGTTAGATGATTAAAGTTACTGTTGCCTGCTACCATCCAAGCACATGCCTGGCAATTTTTGCTCTTGCTGGATTTTTCACTGTGAAAGGCGCTCCTTCCTTAGTATCTTTGCTTTAAACAAAGAAGTTCAAAGCTGGTGGCTGGATGACAGTGAAATGAAGAAATAGCTTTAAACCATTGTAGTTGACCCAATTCCAAGTAAAGATAAACCTTTCTGATTTACAAGGTGTTGCATTTTAGCTTGGTCTGCTCTCTCGGGAGTTATGTCTGAAAAAAATAAAATGTGAAGTGTATGCTCAGCTCGATTTCAAATAGAAAAGCTCAGAAGCGGCACTTGTCAAAACTCATTTTGGCCCAGGCAAATAAGCTTTCTACTAAAGGGGAAAAAAAGGAAACTGAAAGCCTGACCAGCTGTAGCAATCCTAATAGGAGCTAATATGTGCCAACTTCAGCAGTGTCAGGGCTGCTTGCTCAGAAAGAGGTGGGGGTTAAAGCGCTCAGTACTGATGCTTCTGGCTGATGGTTTTGGGAAACCAGGCTCTTTGTTTCTGGGGCAGAAACCCCTCTTGTGACATAGCACTTTCCTACTCTCCCTTGAAAACTTGAACTCTGTGATAGAGTCCTGCTGTGTTGCTTGTGAGGTTTACAGTGCTGTGGTTTGATTCTTTATATCGAAAGTATAAATACTGTCCTTGTACATTTTCTTCAAGGCTTAAAGCATCATCTCATTTAGTAAGTCCTTCTTCTGCTAGGAAGCTGATGGAAGGGTTTGTGCAATAAAATGTCAATAGCCCAAACAGAAACATTTGCCATTTGAAGCAACTTGAATGATTTCACTGTACTTTTTCCCCCCTCAAACTACAGAGGAAGGAATTTTTTTTTTTGAGTTTTTTTCAGCACTTATTGAACACTTGGCTTCAAAGGGACACCAAATACTACTAGATTAGTGAATTAAATTCCACTGGTAGCTATAAGCTCTCAGACCTTTAACATTTTTTTCAAATAAGGCATTTTTTAGTCCAAATAATTTGTAGTTGTCTCACTGCCTGATACTGGAGCTTGACACATTGCGTTATTAGACTTACTGTGTTATACCTTGGCATGACAACTTAGAAGGTTACCCATTTTTTCCCTGTTTCCACTGAAATTGAGTGGTAGGTTTTCTTTTGCCTGCATTTGATCACTGGTTTGAGGAGCTGTCTGAAGCTTCCTTTGTTTCCCTTGCAATTTCTCCCTTGCGCTGCCACATCCCTTTGTGCTTTATTTATTGCCAATTTGTTTGATTAGATTAAGGAAGGATTAAGGGATCCAGAACCCTTGACAAAAGGCAATGCATCACTTATAAATGTGTAAACATAATGTCATTACTTCTTAATTCTTTGTGTTAAATAAAAAAGGGGATTCTTCAGCAGATAAAGACTGAGAGGTTTTTAAAAATCAAATAAAGGCAATTTGCTGACTCAAAGATGTGTATGCCAAAGATGAGGAGTTATCACACAAAAAGCTCAGGTTTTAGTTGATATGTAGAGCTTCAGGTACTTTGATCTCCCTGTGATCCAAATACATCTTGTCAGTCCACACTGATTTCTAACCATTTCAGAACTCCTATAGTGAATGGAGGTTTTGTCTCTGCTTGGGCAGTTTTGGATTTGCCATTAATTTGTAGTTCAATGCTCTTTAAGTTAACACTGGTAAGGATTATAGTAAGAAGAGGATTAATCTTTTATTCAAAAACTTAATGTTGAAAGGCTCTAGCACTCATTTTTCTTTTATTTCTGCCATTAGCAGTGCTGTACTAGTGGTGATTCTGGGTGAAGAAGCCTCATAAATGCTTATTAAAAAAAAAAAAAAGAAAAGGTAACTCCTCCCTGTAGGCTGAGTTGGCCTCCTTGCATTTGGGGTTTTTTGGTTTCCCAAATAAAAAAAATTCTGAAACACAAGAGTAAGTATGATTCAGTTGGACATTGAGAGGACATACTGTCTGCAGTCTGTCCTTAGGCACTTTAAGAGAGTGTCTCAATGAAGAGCAGAAGAACCCACTTGGGTGAGTCCTGTTTCAATTTTATAATCTTCTACTATTTGAAATTTAGCATCTTGATCTCTAGATTTCTTGTAAGATGTTTCTGCTCCCTCTCATGTGAAAATGAAGGTGAGAAGCCGTTCCCTGGACAGGACCATCCTCTTACACTTCCGTAAAGCATTAACAGTAGAATGTTTCACCTTTATTCTTTCATGGTTTGGCATGTGTCATTTTTCTTCTTTCTTTGGCTTTGTTGCCTATACTGCATATTATGATCAGAACTGTTTATTTGTATTATACCCCACAGGTCTGTAACTGGATAGTTCTGAGCTGGCTACCTGCAAGAAGCTGTCTATGCAAACAGCAAACAGCAGGGCTTTGCTTACATGTCTCTGTCAGGCTGGTTTCAAAACAGTGCTATCAGAAATGATGACAGTTCAGTGGCAAAGGTTTATGTTGGTTTTTTGGGGTTTTTTAACCAAAGACCCTGAACATGGACTGCTAAGAGCCCACTGAGCTTTTGCCATGATCACTCATGCTTTTCCCACAGAGTACATAGCTGCAGCTTCTCTGTTGGCCACAAGACAGTTGAAAGGAGTTGCAGATTCTGCTCACTGCTTTGGGTGTAATGAGCTTCCTTGTAATGAGCACTACTTTAAAGAACAGAGAGTGTAAATTCTTGCTCTAAAAGACCTGAAATTAACTCTGGATCTAATTGTGAATGACATATGCTGACATGAGATTATGCAGAGCAGTTGGAGGAAAGCATTTAGATTGCAATGTTACTGCTTGTACTGTCTTTGCCTCTTTCTGGCTTGGGATTGGGACTGTTTGTGCTTCAGTTTTGACAGGAACTATGTTCCATTAGAAAAGCAATGGGAGCAGCTTTTGCGTACACAGGCAGTTCCTGGCTGTCTATTACAACTGCAAATGAACAAGTTGCAATTAGCACAACCTTGAAGAGCATGTTTCCTTTGGAAGTTGCCTTTTGCATGTGTCCTTTAGGGAGTTTTAGGGTATGAGGCAAAGGGTGATACATTCGAGGATTTCCCTGAGAACCAAGCATTCTGAGACCTCAGGCCAAGATCTGTGATACATCCTTGCCTCAGCTATTCTGGCCTCCTCCAACTGTTCCACTTGACCCTGCTCCTGCTCCCTGGCACATCTTGTTTCTGCCAGCCTAACAGTGACTGGGCTCTGCTAGGACCTGGATGTGACCAATAGGAGTGCTCCACCCATAAGCTGGTGGGTTTTTTGGGTTTGTTTTTCTTTTTTTTTTTTTTTTTTTTTTTTTTTTTTTTTTTTGAAGGGACTGTTTTTTGTTTCTGTCTTTCCAAGTTGCATGAGTCCTTGACATGGTCTGCAGCACAACCCACAGACTTGCAAGCCTAAATGAGGGTTGAGGGTATTCTGAATGTAGAGGTTCCTTTTCTATGTTCCTTTAGACAAATTACCATCCTCTTTACCTTTTATTTTCATTTCATAAGGTAAAGGAAAAAGCAGGAGTTATAAGATGCCTGTTAATTAGTACTGCTGTGTGAACTTTTAAAGTTTTGTGTACTACTCTAAAATCTTCAAGGAAAAGTTACTGTTAAAGAACTAGACATTATTTTCTGGCAGCTTACCACCTGCATCTTTAGATGCTGATGCAGTAACAATTTTAATTTTATGAAATGCCTTGTTCAGTAGAGGAGACATCCTCCACTCTTAGACACAGCACTACATTTGCTGGGTTTCCAGTTGTTGTGCCACTAGCTCTGTCTTGTTCTAAAGCTAAGTGTCCTGAAAAAGGTTTAGTTGGTTTAGCAAATCTATCTGTTTAGCAAAGAAGTTCAGAGAATTCACTGATGTTCTCCGTTCTGTTTTGAACCTGCACTAGGCATGATTGCCCTCTTAAAATCGGCAGGACTAGCTTAAACCAATTTCTTATTTCCACATTATCTGTGGCATATCAGCAACAGTGAAGCAGTAAGAGGTGAGCAAAAAGAAATTGCTTATTAGCATGAGATACAAGTTTTCAGAGTTAAATTAACCATTATGTTTTCAAAATATTGTTGTAAAGTGAATGGTTGCAAGACAAGATTATTGCACTTTGGAAGCGCAGTTCCAGAGTGGCACTGCAGCATATTTAATTCCAGCAAGTTAAGTGAGAATGCTGGAACTGATAAGTGTTCTCAGTACTAAATGGCAAAGTCTTTCTTTTCGGTTTAGCTTTACCTGGATTTCCTTATGCACTTTCTTTGTCTGTTAGAGGCCAATACACCCACACATGCCTACAGACATGTGTCAACAAAGCAATGACCAAAGGCTGGGGAAGGAGGGATTGCTGTCGCCAAGACACGCTGATACTGACAGGCTCATGGAGCTGTAGAAATTTGTA